CATTAATTACGAGGCTCCAGAGGTTGTTGTTCAGGAAAGAAGAGTGAAAAGATAAAAGAATAGTTTCCTAACAAGGGCGCCACAAAAAATTTTCTCTATGGTTTTTTGCTGATTGTGTTTGTACAAAACTTTCCAAACCCCCCCCCCCCAGAAATAGGGGGGAAAAATAAGGAAAAATTAACCAACTTATAATTTATAACTATCACTGAATATTAATTTTTACAAACTTGAGTCTGAATACAAACCTGATCTTAAAAAATGCATAAATAGTCCAGATTTATGCATAAACAACTATGACAATCATCTATCAAACAGGTTTTCTGAGTGCAGCATTCTTGAAAAACTTAAGAGAAAAGCAGTAAGAACTAATATGAAACTAAACATTGATTTCAAATATTATAGAAAGACTGCCATCTAGAGGAGAGTTTTTAAAAGCAACGTTTTTGTTGCTTTTAAAATGTTTTTTTTTTTTAGTAGGCATGAATTAGGATCCACAATTTTCAGATAGCTTTTTATTTGCTTAATAATAAAGCGATTTTGTTCAAATTTTATTTTATTTTATTTTACAGGAAAGCCCATTCAAACTTTTTCCATTTTAAGATTCCATCTTGGAGGGGGGGAGGCATCTTCCTCACTTAAAACAGCAGCTTTAGGAAGAGCTCTGAACAATTTAAAACATGAGAAAGCCTTAGATATCTTCAGCAACGCAAGAATCTAACACACTCAGGATCACACTACACAGCCATCTTTACGAAAAAGAGAACAGTGAAAAATTAAGTCATAGATCTCAGGTATATTAATTTAACCAGGATATAATCTTCATTAGAACAATTAACCACAACAGAAGGAATGTTCTTAAAGTCAAAAATATATCTTTAATAGTTCTTTATAGAATATGAAAAATGTTCTAATAAATGTTGGATGAAATGTTGGATCATATTTTGAGAACTCAATATTGGCTATTATAAAAATTCATAAATAAGCTGTATACTAAAATGTATTTCTTTCAACCTTATCAATACCAAAACATTTCAAGATAGCTTCATGGTTTTTTTTTAAAAAGCATACAGAAACTTTAAAATACAATTAATAAATCAATAGCAATTATTAAGGGCAGACAACAGAGGTTGGTGGACAAAGCTATTAAAACAGCTTGCTGAAGAGAAATGCTAGTTTGGTGTTCCACATTAAGCTTTCATGTGATTTGTTTAATCTTGGTTTAGCCTAACATGTGAATTTAGCCACTATAATTTGTAAATGATAGTTTATGGTTTGTAAATCATAGTTGATAGCTTGCCTTTGTATGTGAACCAAACAGCTTATGCCTATTTCAGCAATCGTGATTACCATGAACTATATTAACCTAAATTGTTAACCAAGCATTTGTAAAAGAACCAATGTAAGTGACATTATTACTACCCAAATACTAAACATTCAATAATAGTGTTAAGAAATAAGAATCAATACAGGGATTCCAAGATACCTTCAAAACTGATAAAATCTTACCTAAACTATATTTTAAGTTCTGTATTCAATACAGTTTAAATGATGCAATGATTAGTGCTATATTATCAAGAAGCGGGAAAACAAAATCTAATAATATGTAGAGGAGAGAAAATTTGTTGATAAAATCCATGATTTTTTTATGCTTGCCTTGGGAGCCCCTAAAGTCATTTATAGAATTTTTTTTTTTGCAATGTCTTTTAAATCAAAAGTTATACAAGACAGCTTGGAATCAGTGGCTTGATTCCATAGAAGGAGCAGCAAATAGAACATATGCTTACTATTAACCTTTTCAAGAAAAAGAATATAAAAAAACCCTTCAGAATATATTCAAGAAGAAATATTGAAGGGAGGGTGCCAAAAAAAAAATTACACATTTGCGATCCTTGGCTAAACGTCCTCTTCCTGTTGGCCTATGAACTGAATTTTCCTGGTGTGGGCCAAACAAGGTTAGGTAGGTTCATACAGGTGAACAATTTTTCATACAATTCAGACTCCAGGTTCTCCTTGACTTACGACCAAAATTGAGTTCAAAATTTCCATTGCTTAGTAAGGCAGTTGTCGAGTTTTGCCCCATTGTATGACTTGTTTTTTGCCGCAGTTGTTAAATGAATCACTATAATTGTTTAGCGGTTGTTAAGTGAATATGATTTTCCCCATTGACTATGATTTTCAGAAGCTGTCTGGGAAGGTTACAAATGGTGATCCTATGACACTAGGATACAAATACATGCCAGTTGCCAACTGGCTGAATTATGATCACATGGCCATGAGGATGCTGCAGTAGGGTAAATGTGAAAAACAGTCATAAGTCACTTTTTTCAATGCTGTTATAACTTCAAATGGTCATTAAACAAATGGTTGTAAGTCAAGGACTACCTGCATATGATTTACAGCACTAAAGATATAGTGGCGGATAAGCCAAGAATTTGTAGTGCCAAAATATATCCCCAAAAATGTGTCCAGTTTATCCATAAACAGGGGTGGGTTTCAACCGGTTCGCGGCGGTCCCCGCAGACCGGTTGGTCGGTGAACCCTTAAGTAACTTCTGGGAACACCGAAGGGCCCACCCGCCCACCCGTGCTCCTTACTAGTCTTTGAAGGCTTCTGCACTTCCATGCAGGCACATGGCACATAGAGCACCTGCGCGATTCTCCACGAGCAGCTGGAGCATCGCGCCGGTGCGAAGACGCATGCGTGAACTGTGCGTGTGCACAAGGACGCTGCCGGCCCCGTTCCAACCGTATTGGTTGGAACGGGATGAGCAACCCACCACGGTCCATAAAGTATATACAATAGTTTTTTTCCCTCAGCTTTTTACCTATGTAACTTTCTGTCTAAGCAGAGCCTTGAATTTTTAACTAAAATATTTTGAAAAATCTGCCATCTGCAGATAAGCTAATTGTGAAATTAAAACCTATGAAAACCTATGAGTCAGCTTATTGGGGAGTAGCACAATTTTCACAGTATCTCTGTTTAAAAATTCAAAGGTTGGCTAATCCATGAGAGTATATGCTTATATGTGAGTATACACAGTAAGCATTTTCAATTGGGATCATTAACAATTCAGCAACAGAAATGATAAAACACTGGTGCAAAATTCACTCACCCTCCAGTTTTTAAGTTATATTTTTGTGGAAATACTATTTTGGAAAGAATTGAGATTATAAACATTACAAAGCACTATTAATGATGGGTGGTAGCTATTATTACCTTTCAATGGCCAATTCTTTGTTGGAAATCTGCTGTATAGTGATGATAATCTTCTTCTCAAGGCCTTGCTTTAGTTTGAAGTAAAATTTCTCTCTGTCTTTTGGTACCGGACTAAAGAAGAATAACATTCTATCAAAATCTTTCAACAGCAAACTCTAATAAAAATTCTGATAAAAATAAGTTCATCTACTCATTAAAATCGAAGAACATCAAAATTATCAGACCAAAGACACAAAATAAAATGTTTTTACATATTGTAGGCAGCTTCTGAGGCCTGGGGGGGACAAAAATGAGCAAAAAACGGCACATTTTTTGCTCATTTCTGCTCTCCCCAGCCCCCAGGAGCACTCTGAAAGCCTCCTAAAAGCTATGCATGGCCATTTTGATGAAAGAGGGGGGTTCATTAGACCAAAAATGCTGTATTCAGTGTATAAGACGCACCCAAATTTTCACCCCCTTTTTTTGGGGGGGGGGGGAAGGTGTGTCCTTATACTCTGAAAAATACGGTAATTATTTTCTAAACTATGATAAACTGCTTTACTATCCGCCAATCCTTGCCTTTTGTTGTGAATATGTGCATTTTGAATTCCTTAGAGCAGTGTTTCTCAACCTTGGCAACTTGAAGATGTCTGGACTTCAACTCCCAGAATTCCCCAGCCAGCATTCGCTGAGTTGAAGTCCAGACATCTTCAAGTTGCCAAGGTTGAGAAACACTGCTCTAAGGAATTCAAAATGCACATATTCACAACAAAAGGCAAGGATTGGCGGATAGTAAAGCAGTTTATCATAGTTTAGAAAATAATTACCGTATTTTTCAGAGTATAAGGACACACCTTCCCCCCCCCCCAAAAAAAGAGGGTGAAAATCTGGGTGTGTCTTATACACTGAATACAGCATTTTTGGTCTAATGAACCCCCCTCTTTCATCAAAATGGCCATGCATAGCTTTTAGGAGGCTTTCAG